TTAAGACAAATGATTAGTAAATATATAACATTAACTTATTCACAGACATCAAATTGTGTGGGATACCACAAATAATACAAATGTAGTCATCTTGCCTTCTTTAGTTATAGTTATGAATATAATAAAGAATCTCAGGATAGGCATCTTGTCAGCATTACTCATGATATATTCCCTATCACAATGTCCAGTGAGAAGTAGCTGCTTAGTATTTGTTGAGTGAAACAGTGCTCCCTATACCATAAAATGACTAAATCACCTACAAAAGAATATATTATAGTCAGTATAGCTTCAGTAATCGATGTATATACTGTAATTCCTAGAACACAACTAATTGGTGCATGGTTTACCCATGCCCACGAACTAGAGCTCCTCATTATTTTTTTTAAAATATTTATTTATGTATACAATGTCCTGCCTACATGCCAAAAGAGGGCACCAGATCTGATTATAGATGGTTGTGAACCTCCATGTGGTTGCTGGGAATTGAACTCAGGTCCTCTGGAAGAGCAGACAGTGCTCTTAACTGCTGAGCCATCTCTCCAGCCCAAACTCCTTATTCTTAAATCACTTTGAATAAAAACGGGGCTCACTATAAACCACTGATCATACGTAAAGATTATTGTCTATGTGAAACATTTAAAAGCTATATTTTCAACAGTTATTCATTAAACATCTTCTAAGTACCAAGTATAGTGTTAAAAGCCACCCCCAATTGCTTTCGGTTTAGAACACCCTCCTTTCTCACACTGCATTTTCTCTTCCAACTATCTAGGAAAAGTTAATTTATTATATACAATATATACCCTAGGGATTAGGGCTTCTTTCCCACTTGAGAAAAGCAAGTCTAGAAAGCCATACAAATTAAAAGGCAATTATAAAGAATGCAATAACTTAAAAAGGTTGCTTCTAGGTAGGGGCAAGTTCAACTATCAGAACTATCTGGTAAATGTCAAAATGGATAGATGTATATTACTAGTTATATAAATGCAAAAATATTGCAATACATATATGCAGATATATTTCAAAACACAACAAAATAAGTGTATTTGACATTCAACAATATCAGGACAAGTTTATTAGAGAAATGAAATAGAAAAAAACTCATAATTACCCTTATAATTTCATAAGGAAGCCAAAAACTTTCTTGCTTCTGGGACAAAAAGCAGTTACTTGAATTATTCTGCTAACTACCTTCATACATTTTGTTTTATTAAAGTGGGCTTACTCTGGACTCAAGGTAATAAACCAGCTACCCAATTCATTAATTTTTATTTTGCATTTGTAGCTTTATTTAAAATTTTCATTCTTAATGCAGACTAATTTTACCCAGTCTCTCTGATAAGATATTTTCTTTATAGAATCAATGAAGTTTAAATACTTTTAGAATCAGTGATACAAGTTTACTCTAGTTTTCCACAGTGCTAATAAGCTTTTATTATCAATGACCTGTACTGTCCAATATCCCTTCAACAAATTAAATGGACAGTACCCACTCAACAAAATCACCTAATTTACTTTATCAAGATACTTTATTTAAACCTTTAGCAAGAATTAATTTAATAAGCTAAAAGAGAAAACTTTGTGACAGATTGTCAATAAGCCATTAAGCCTATGGCTTATGAAACTTTAGACAAAAGTATAAAATTCCTATAACAACTACAAATTCTATTAAAAGATGGGATAACATCGAAGTCCACGACCTAACTTACATCCTAAATTTTAACTAGTCCAGACTTCCAATTAAATATGCCTTTGAAGCAAATTAATTGGACAGGCAAAGCTATTATTACATATTTGTTGTTTTTATAGAGATGTTGACTAGGAACAAACACGTAGTGCTCTTAAGACACCCCACAGGTCTAACTCCCAAAATGCTGTACACTATTCTCCACTAATCTTCCACCACAAACTGTCAAAACCTGGGCATTATGGTGCAAGTCTGTAATGTCAGCACTAAGAAGGCTAAAGGAGTGGATGGACAGAGTTCAAAGTCAGCCTAGACTATGGAGTAACACTATTTGCAAAAAGAAATACGAAGCTAGATGCTGTGGCAATTGCTTTTGATCCCAACACTCCATAGGCAGAGTGAGTTCCAGGACAGCCGGAGCTAGATAAGAGATCCTGTCTCAAATCAACAAAGAAACAAGCAAAAACCCACAAAAGGCTGCCTAAAGGAAACTGATGCTGGCAGCTGTAGAAACCACCAGCAATCCTAAGACTTGGGAAGTGGAAGCAAGGATCAGGAATTCAAGGTCATTGAGCTTAAGGCCATCTGCTTGACGTGAGACTCTGACTCAGAATTTTTTTCAAAAGTTGTAATTTATCAGGAAGGACAATTATTAGTGGCAAAGATATCATGTCATGGCCCTGTCTTTTAAAAGTACAATTAATCACCATTTCTCTTAGCTGAAGAATAGAGGAGCTGGGGAAGAAAATGACATTTTAAAAATGACTCAACAAACACAACTAGCTTTATGAAGATGAAGTGATTCCTAAGTGAGTCTTACCTTCCATCACAGGTTTAAGATACAAAAAAAAGTTCTATTTTAGCATATAATCCTCTAACGTTCAATGACCAACAATACTATACATAACATTTGAAGTTAACTTCAGAAGAATGACTGCCAAAAAAGCATAATTGGTTTTTTAAAGAATCCATAGCCCTATCTCTAAAATCTTAAAAACAATTGTAAGGAAAACACAATACTTGGACTACATCTACTGGGCTGTGTAAGTTCCAATTCAATCTTTAATTTACTGATCTGGTGATTTAAATGTATATATTAGTAAAAGAATGTGCTCCGTGTAGATGACAATAGAGCATGATTTAATATCTAAAGAATTTAAAAATTTGTCCACTCCACACCCCAAATTTAAAGCCACTTTTAGCAGTGAAAATTTGATGGTATAGTCAGTGCAATGATTTGAAGTTTAATTCCTTGCTCTAGGCCTAGGGCTCAGACAGAACTCCTAAGAACCTTCCAGCTTATGACACTGGAACAAATTCCTAGGGCTTATCATAGTCAGGACTGTGCAGTAAAATGTGTGCAGCTGGACATCTTAGTTGAAACAATGAGGTCAAAGCTCCCTTTCATATTAGTAAAAGTGAGTCTATGCAGAAATCTTGGGAAGAATGCAAGGTACCAGCAGGCTGGCACTCAACAACTGCTGCAAATTCTACTGCATGCCCTAGCTTTGTGGGCCAGCAATGCTTAATTTTTACAGCTACAATGCAGATCACTCGCAGCAAAAGAAAACGGCTTTTGGATCAGCACTGGTTGTGTAATTTCAAATGCCCAAAGCCTTAAAAAAAATGGGGTTGGGGATGTCAGCATCTTAATTTTGAGCTAATGAATTTAACATGACTCAGAGACCAGTTATTTTGCAACATATGAGTGCCATGTGAAAAAATTACCCTTTTCCCTACGCATTACAATTAGCTTTCTTCTCACCTTTCTCTTTTTATCACCCAAAAACAACACTTCAGAATCACAAGAACCTATGTGAAACAGAACTAGGAGGTACAATGCTCTTTTACAGTCTCAGGTTAAATGTGAGAACAAATTTTAGTCACTTGCTTCAACAAAGCATCCAGCACAATGCATTTCCCAGGACACTTGAGATCCTTGGTTCGCACAACCTTTGCTGCTCAGTGCCACAGGTACTAATCAGCTCCACCTTCATTTGCGTGTTTCTGAGCGAAAGAAACATTTAGCAAAACTGAGTATTATTGCGCCGATGGTGGTAACCTAAAAAGGGACGTATTAAGCGTGATCATTAAGCAGGGGACATTTGTGAAAGTTCCAAATGAAGGAAAGAAAATTAAGGGCAAGTTCATCTGACCTACGAAAAACATACCAGCAATGACTTCATTCGAAATGACTTCACAAAAGGTACCAAACTGTCTGTCAAGTTCTTAAGTCTATCCTAAGAGTGCAGGGGACGCACTCAGCATTTTCCCCCTAACTACAGAAACATAAAATTTGAGGCTGATCTCTTTCTTTCCTATCCCTGGCAGAAATAAAATCCTATTCCCGACACCTCCTCTGGAAATTAGGGAAGTTGCTACAAACAGCAGCGTGTAAGTAAACTGCTCCACTTTACTCCGTCCTTAAGGAACCCTGGGAACACTCGGGTTGATCCAAAAAGTCAGTAGCAGCCAGAAATCGCTTTCCCTCCCCCTCCCCCCGACCCTGTGCCAAACTCCTCAAAGAAAGACAATTCCCTTTCTTTTCTGGGGGTGAGGTGGCTAGAAAGGGGGGCAAGGTGGCCAGAGGAGCCGAGCTGCACGTTAGATCCCAAGTCCGGAGCAGCCAACCAGTCCTCCGCGAGCCTCAGGCTCCAGGCTCCGCAGCGCTGGCGCAGCCTCCCCGCTGTCGCCCGGTCCCAGCCCACCCCGCCGGCGGCCCAGGCTCTTTATCTCGCCCTCAAGGTGAGCCTGGAGGCTGAGTCCTCAAAGTTTGCCTGGCTTCTGGGCAGCAGCCGCCCGCCCTCCGGAGCTGGGGCGAGGCTGGGTCCTGCTGTAGCCCCGGGCTCTCGCGCCCCCCCCCCCCCCCACCAGCTCCTCTTTTGGCCCATGGTGACAGATCTAGGTTTTACCTCCACGTGCTAGTGGGAGAGGAAACAAAAGAAACCTTCCTCCCAGATAATCAAACGCCATCTTCCACTAATTGGGAAACTGAGGGAGCCCCGGGGAGCCCCCATCCCACCCCGAGGTCCCCGAGTCTGCCTGTCCAAGGCAATCCCTGGTCCAGAGGCAGAGTTCCTCGGAGCCCGGGGAAACCCGGGCTGAAAGGTTCAGGAGGCTGGGGTGGGACACCAGAGAGCCCCACCTGCCTCCCCACCCAGGCCACCCGAAGCAGCATGCTTCCCTAAAATTGAAGGGGGGGCGGGGGGGCGCGTCCCACTGGTCCCCTTCGCACATCGACTCTGGACAAGCGGAGGGGCCAGAGAACCGGCTTGCCCCCGGTACTGCCGGGAACCTCCGCAAGTGGACTCACCAGGCGATTCAAGGTCCGGCGGAACATCGCGTCCAGGGCTGCGGGCTGCCGAGCCGGGCTCCGTCCACGGGGGCTGTCTGCAAAGGCGCCGTCCACAAAACACACTGCAGCGTGGGCCCGAGGCGCCAAGTGGCCAGCTAGCTCAGCTACCCCGCCACCAGCCCGCTGCCTGCCCTCCTCGCCTCTGTGCGCCCCCGCCCACGCGCTCGCCGCCCCGCCCTCCCGGGGGCCCGCCCCCAACCAACCCTGGCCCGGGGGCGGCGACCCCATCGCTCCCCTTATCTGGCCCCAGCACCACCAGGCGCTCCCTCGGCTGCCCGCCTAGTAGCAAGCACGGGCGGGGAGGGTTAGGGGCCGAGCACTGCTCGCCCTGCACGAGGAGGAGTGTGTGTGTGGGGGGGGGGGGGGTGCTCAAGGCTCCCCCGTCAGCGCCGGGCTGGGCACCCCGCGCCTTCCACTCGTCCTGCTGCGGAGCCCCCCGCCCGACTCCCCACTAGCTTCAGCGGGGGGCGTCCCCGCGCCTCGCTCGCCTGACACGACTCCTGGGTGTCCGAGGAGCCCCTAACTCCCTCACCCCGGCCCTAACTCGTCCGCTTCTCCACTTCCCTCGCAGCCTTTCGTCGGCCCCGCGCTTTCGCCCGGCACTTCGGGCTGAGGGGGAACCTCGCTGCGGCCCACTTGGAGGCCGCCAGGCGCCCCGCTTCCTCAGCGGGAGGGGCAGCTCTCCAAGGAAACACTCGGAACTAACGGCGGCTGAGGAGACCCTAGCGCGGGCGGGGCGCGGCGCGGGCGGCGGGAGTAGTTACAAAAGCCGCCCCCTCCTAGGCTACAAAAGGGAGAGTCTTGCCTCTTGGTTCCCGCCGCCGCTGCCCTCCCTTTCTCGTATTTTGGGGCTTTCTGGTCTTTGCCTGGGTTGTGGTTTTCTTCCGTCCAGCTACTCCACCTTAGCCCTCTTACTTCCACTTTCTCTGGGAGGTTGTAAAGTAGGGCTTTGTGTCGCTGCCACTGCGCAGCGGGGCGGGATTTCCCTGCCGCCCTCGCCCTTTTCGATGTTCCCAGTGCATCCTGGGAGTTGTAGTCCAATGGTTCTCTCTGCCCGCTACTGCGGGCTGGGAGCTCCCCCACATGCCCGACTAGGGTTTGCTCACAGAGTTGCAGAAGGAAGCTGCAGAGACCATAGGGCTGAATCAAGGTTCTCCTTACCACTGCGTGTGGAAATCAGAAACACTGGGTACATTCTTAGCTGTGGGAACTGTGATGAGGAGGATAAATTCAGCCCTGAATGCTGATAACCTTACCCAGAACTCGACCTTTCCTCAGCGTTAATCCTGCACACCCTCAACTTGCTGTCTTAAAATTGCAGTGTACAAAAGTTCAAAACTTAAAAAGTGAAAGCTTGGTCAAGAATTCTGTTGAGCCTGAATAGCTCTCCCGGCTCCCACCCATTTTTCCACCGCCCTCTGAGACGGAGAGCTAGGCTGTTCTTAGCTAAGAACTTTTGAATTCTATAAATTCTTTAAAGAAGTGGGTAAAGGGAGTTCTGTAGAGACAGGCAAATTCTCCCTCCAGCCTAGAAGGATTGGGCTCAGCTCTCTAGCTGACCCGGTGTCAAGTCTTGAAAGGCCTTTACTGTGAGGCTAGGGTACTTCCTATTTTACACTCCCCGCCCCCGAAGGTTAGATTTCAACATTTACTTGGTGCTGTCTTTCTAGAAGCTGGATACAGTGATGTATTAAAAGACCTCCCCAGCAGGCTGGCCACAGTGAAGTTACAAGGTACAAACGCGTGAAAATTACCCGTTTTGTGATGCTTTCTAATGGCAAAGGAAACAGGAGAGGATAATGCCTTTAAAAAGGATCCGGGAAGCTTTCCTGAAAACCATGAAATTTTCACTGGGCCAAGCCTATAAAACAGAGCTGCTCGAGATTAACCCAGGCCTTGGAATGTGGGAAGGCTTTGGAGGAGCCCAGGGAACAAAGTCCTGGGAAGAGAGGGAGAGGTCAGTTGGAAAGTACAGGGCAACCTAAGAAAAAGAACACAGCCACTCTGTCAAGGCAGGAAAAGGGACACATGTGGGCGGGACATTACAGATAAAAGCCAAAGCCCCAAAGCATCCTTAGAAACAAACTATGAACTTTGACCTTGTTTCCATGATCAATGAGAAGCCCCCACACAATAAAGTGCAAATTCAGATTTAAATTCGTTCCTAAATGGTCCTACCTGCCTAGAGGTAAAGTCAACCATTTCTAACTTTTTTACTATGGCTCCTCTATTTCCCCACGCTTAAGGATATGTCTAATAATCTTGAAGAAATCTTAAATGTACCAATTAGATATTAAGATCTGAGATCATGCTCTCTACTACTCCAAAGAATTGGTTTTAAATAGAGTTGTTTTTCCTGACTTTACTTTTATTGAACACAGAAACTTTTAATTTCACTTACTAATTATTTGTTGGGTAGCTACTATGTGAATAACTCCTATTCTGAATACTTGAGGGGGATGTTGAATGTTGAAGGAAGTTATTGCTACTCATTCTGAAATGTGCTTGGACAGAAATGAAGATATTCTGTAGAAATGTGTGTCTCTATGTCTGACTTATCACAAGGAAATGGGAGTTTACCCAGGGTTCTTACACCTAGTGAAGAAAAATCCCCCTGGCAGAAAGTGAACTTGTTCAGAGAAGAGATTTTCCACAGTTCTAAAAATTGCTATGCCTTCCAATTTGAGACTGAAGTCCAGACAGTGATTGGATGGGTCAGTGGTAGGTGGGACCACACTTGATTGAGACTGCTTTGACATGCATGTTCTTTGCGGAAAGGTATTGGAGGCAGCTGCCACTGGATTTCTTTGTCCTTTATCAGTGTGACCACATTGAATAAATCTCCTTTTTCTGCTTTCCACTTTTAATATGACTCATCTAATTGGCTCATTGAGGATGGGTGGCCAGATCTGCCTTGAATCACAGGTTGTTATAGTGGTATGTTATTTCTGTTTTAATAAATAAAACTTGCCTAGAGATTAGAAGGCAAAACAGCAACGCTAGTCAGCCATACAAGCCAGGGAGTGGTGGCATACAACTTTATCCCAGCACTTGGGAGGCAGAGACAGATGGATGTCTGTGAGTTCAAGATCGGTCCAGGAACAGATCCAGGTGGTGGTGGTTCATATCTTTAATCCCAGTGTTTGGGAGTCACACACTAGGGAGATGGAGACAGGAGTGATATGGCTGGGTAGAGAGAGGAATATAAAGGGGAAGAGACAGGAACTCAGTGGAGTGTGGAGTCTGAGAATTCGTGGAGACAGTAACTCGCCCTTTCAGTTTGAAGATTTAGTAGTGGTAAAAGGTCTCTCTAGTGACTTGGCTGATTTGTTCCTCTGATCTTCATGTCGAGCCCGAATATATGTCTCTGGGTTCTTATTATTCATGCTACAGGTTGTTACTCCTAAGTCTGATAACAATCCAGGCACGAGTATAGAATCTTTATCAATGAAATACAAACTTTTTGACAAAATAAGTAGTCGAAAACTAATTCAGTTTGATATGGAAGTTCTTACTAGTAAATATTTTGTCTACATCTAGTTTAGTTAAGCAGATGGAAGAAAAATGTACTCTTTTTATAGATGTGTACAGATAAACTTTAAAAAATGGACACTCAAAATTGTTAGTGTTTTCTCCCACTTGTTTCTTTTTTTAATATATTACCGAGCTTTAAAAGCAATGACTTTAAGATCCCTCAGGACACAGTAAGAATTGTTGCTCACATATCATTTGTTATTAGAATTCCACTAAATGAAGCACGATTAATAAAAACTCAGAGAGAGAAATTGGGGTTCAACCTGAAGATTCAAAAAGCAAAGCAGCAAGCCACTGGCTCTTACTTTAACCTCAGTCCAAAATAGCGATCCTGCCTCCAGGAATCTCAGACAGTGTCTGAGAGCTGTCTCTTTCTGTTTTTGTTTTTTTTTTAGATTCATTTATTTATTTTATGTATATGGCAGCTCTATCAACTTTATGTCAGAAGAGGACATCAGATCCCATGGTAGATATAGTGAGCCACCATGTGGTTGCTGGGAATTGAACTCAGAAACTCTGGAAGAACAGCCAGTGCTCTTAACCATTGAACCATGTCTCCAGCCCTCCCTCTGTTTTATAATCCTCTCCAGGGCTGAGATTAAAGGCATAAACCACTGGGATGAAAGTCATGCACCTTCCAGTGTTTATAGCAAAGTAGTGTGGCTACTGGGATTAAAGGTGTGTGTTATTGCAGCCTGGTCTGTAAAGCTGAGCAGTGTGACTGTTTTTCTGTCTGAACTTCAGGCAAGTTTATTTATTAAAATATAAATGAAATAGCACTACACTATCTCCTTATTGTCCCAATTTATTTCAGCACAACACCTATTCTCATGAGTTCAGACTAATTTACTTCAATATAAAAATGAAATTTCATACTAACCAAACTGTGCTTACCAAAATATGAGATTTATATAAAAGCAATTTTTTTTGTATCTCAAGCTCAAGCTGAAATTATAGTTGCTCTCACATACACCCCATGGAGTAACTCCTTTGTCATTTTTTTAAGACAAAAAGAAATTAATTTTGTTCTTTTCAGTGCCTCTTCACAGTTTCCAAAGAAAACCTAGGTGTTGTGGATGACTATGAAAAGCAAACCAGCAGCTAACATTTCTATTCAGCCAACTCCATAAACAGAGCTGCAGAAACTTCCTTCCTCCTGCTGACACTGTCACAGCCGGTAATGACACATAATGCCAACTTTTCCAGAGTGTCATCTGACTGCAGCAGAAGCCACAGTTTCCAGGGAATTCAGGATGGAGTCTGGACTCTCCTCAACTTGACTAGGGATAGAACTTGAAGCCAGGGGATGGAAAAAGAGTGATCCTTTTGCCCGTTTCTATGCAAAGCACTCAGGAGTCCTTCTCGGTTTTTACTCCCATGCCATTTATACCTTCCCACCTCCTACTTTGAAAGATTACCTGAAGGAATGCAGAACAAACCCTAGGGGACAGCTGTCCCACCATCTTGTGAAGGAGCACAAGCCTGGAATA